TATGTGCAATTCATGGTTGTACGTGGGCTGGGATACTGCCAGGGCGCCCACACCTAGACAGGAGGACGATTAGGGTCCTCAACCAAAGCCTTTGGCTCAAAAGCCTAACCGCAAGGCAGCGGTGTTTGGCGGGAAATGCAAATGCATTACCATTTCTACGGAACAAGTCGCCACATGTTCCAACCCCCAACCTGGAGGGCCAGGAGACTGTGTTTGTCAGACCTCTAACCATTGACCAACCTGGTATGAGAGACTCTGTGAGTGTCGCGGGACACTCTCCAGTATAGCTCAATGGATCGCTGAGGTGCGCAAACCGTCACACCACGGTAAGGTCCAGTCTCTTCGTGACGGCCCAACTCGGCCGATGACACCCCACTACGTTTGGTAATGACGTTCATGGTGGTACGCAGACCCGGACCTAAAACCGTCACTTTGTCGTGGTGGTCCGGCTTCTGTGCTGCAATAAGCCTGCTATCTATTCTGGCTAGAACACAGTTAACTGAGTTAACCATGGGAATTCCTGGAGATTCAACCATGCTAAAAAGGTCAATGTGGAACGTGGTCCGGCGTGCTGCAATAGGCCTGCTATCTATTCTGGTTAGAACACAGTTAACTGAGTTAACCATGGGAATTCCTGGAGATTCAACCAACCAAAAAAGGTCAATGTGGAAGAGATTGACGAAGAACAGCGTACCGTACCACCGTACCAAAATGAATATCACTAATAGGCAGTTTGGGGGTAAAATCGTAATGTCCTTGTCGTTCAGCGGCTGCCGTCCACCTGAACGGCACAAGTGAAAAGGGTGTAGCACCGCTCTTTAAGTTCTCAGCGCGGGGCAGTATGTTTGCCAGCGCGAGGACTTGCATAAATGTCTAATGGAGCTTTAAGCTGGGTTCTAGATGGAGAGTGGACAACTGTCGCAGGAAGGCCATTTCACGCAGCTACCACCCGAAGCGAGAAAACATTTCGCCTGAGCTTAAAAATTTTCTCATTATGTCCCCGCCGTGTATTTGCTGGGTCAATATTGAAAAGCCCGTTGGCCAAACCTTGTTTAATCGGGGCATAAGTAAGAATTAGGTCCCCTCGAGGGCGAGGATACCCCTGGGGAAAGAGGTCAAGCACCGCCGGACACGTTTCGTAGTCCACGGATTTGAAACCGGCAACCATTTTCGTAGCTGCTCGCGGGACACGCTCAATGAGGGTTACATCTTTCGTGCGTCCTGAGTAGACAACTTGGTTGGCATATTCAAGGAGCAGTCTGACGTAGCCCCATAGAGTATTTGAAAGTCCATGCGAGTAATACGGAAGGTGCGTCAAATCATT